AACTATTATGACTGATCTGTAAATTCTTTCTTCATTTTTATTTTGGACAGTTTTTATTGTTATATTCAGTCATGTTTGTAAATAATTCATTTTCAATTTGCAATCTATTAAATTTTTTTAAAAATATAGCAAAAAATAAATAAAATAAAGTTAAAGTAAAAAAAAATTAAAGAAAAAAGAAAAGTAGCAATAGTTCTTGTACTCTACTATTGATGCCAATTAATAAAAATGCTTAGTTGTTTAAAAAAAAAAGGAAACAGTAAAGAAATTACTGGTGAATGCTACTTTGGAGGAAGTCACAATGAAGCAGATTTGCAAAGAGGTATATGAAAATTATCCTGCTTATGATTTAACTGAGAGAAAAGATTTCATAAAAACAACTGGAAAAGAGCTGATTTCTTGAGATAGAAGACAAAGATGACTTGTTCCCATAGATCAGAAGATCTGATGTATATATTGTACCAGCAAAGGGAACGTATTTCTTTTTCTTAATTCTTGTGTCAGTAGAACTTACTGCTGACCTTTTTTTATCTTGAGTGTTAATGTAAATTTGAGTTTGTCATTTTAAACTGCATTTCTATGCTGTTTTTAGTTTAGAACGTTGCATGGCAAGAATTGTTACTTGCTTTTATAACTGTATTTTATACATTTTGAATTTCTTTTATAAGGCCATAGATTCCTGAATTATGGGTTTTAGTGCACTTAATAGTAGCTTGCTTAAGATCTATTTTTCATCAAGTAGAACAAAAATATAAGTGGCATTTATACATGCAGAAACTATTACAGTAGTGTATAAAATATTTTAAATACACAGCTCTTCTGTCAGTGAACTCAGTGGCATTGTGTTCATTACACAAAATTACCCAAACTGTCTGGATAACTGAGTTGGAACTTCATTTGCATGTATATCTATTCCAAGTTGTCAGCATGACAGAAGTGACAAGATGTTATTTTTGTATTTTTAAAAAAGTTTGTTGTATATAAAGTTTTTTAAATTTCAAAAAAAAAAAAGAAAACAAGACATCTACCTTTGCATGTTTTTAGGTTCCCATTGTATGGAATATTGTCTTCCATCCTTTGATTTTGTTTTTGGTCTATGAATTTCTATTTGTATTAAATGTGTTTCTGATATGCAGTACACTGTTGGATTTTATTTCTTTTTTTTTTTTTTTTTTTCGGAACTGGGGATTGAACTCAGGCCCTTGTGCTTGCCAGGGAAGCGCTTATTCTACTGAGCCATCTCCCCGGCCCCTTGAATTTTGTTTTTGATACACTATGTTAATCTGTGTCTTCTGATTGACAAGTTAAGCCCATTTACATTGATAGTTATGGGCCTCTTCCTGTCATTGTATTAATTTCCTTTAGTTCTTTTGCTCTCTTTTCTTTCCTTTAATTATTATCCCTTTCAAATATATTCATCTTATTGGAACATTTGGCATTGTTATCTTTCCTGTATCCTTCTAAGTTATCCTTGAGAATTTTTAGTCTTTGTTTGGTTGTCATAAATTTCTTTAGGATTTCTTTGTCATGCAAATATCTTATTTATCTACATATTTTTTAAATAAATTTTTAGGTCACAACAGCCTGGGTTGGGAGTTGTTTCTTAAGAGTATGAAACATTTGATTCTATGCTCTTTGACTTCAAGTTTTCTTTTGAGAAGTATATTGTAATTCTAATAGGTTTTCCTTTGTGACTTTTTTTAAAAATTAATTTTCTCTATCAGCCTTTATGATTCTGTTCTTCTCTTGTGTTTTTGGTGTTTAAAATATTATGTGTCATGGAATGTTTTTTGTTTTGTTTTTGGTCATGGGTAATTGGAGTTCTATAGGCTTCATTTATGTGTATGTTAAATTATTTTCCCATGTCTAGGATATTTTCTGCTATTACTTGTATAAACAGGTTTTTTATGTCCTTTGTTCTGTCTTCTGACGTTTTTCAAATTCCATCTACTCTTATGTTAGACCTCTCTGTCACCTAAGAGCTGTTGGGTTCATATTGCATGTTTCTTTGCTGTTTGTGTTTGTGTTGGTTTTTGTTTTGCTTTTTTAATGTATGTAGTATATGGTTTGCAGGGTCTCACTACAGATCAGACTCATAGTGATCCTCCTGTTTTCAGCCTCCAGAATTGGCTGGTATTACAGGTTTGTGCCACCATGCCCGGTCTCAATCACCATCTCAGTGTGTTCCGGGGATGGGGTCAACACAGCACACAGGGATCAAATCCCAGACCATGCACCTGCCTAAGCAGGCACTTTAATCCACTGAGCTATCTGGCCAGCCCTTCCTTTTCTGTTTTTAAGGTATCTGTAATTAACTGATCCTTGCCAACAGCCCAGTCCTCTAGGCCTCTCACAATGTCTTCACATAAGTCACTTCTGTCTATACTTTCAATCACACATTTAACCTCCCAGAATTCTGCGTGGAATTTCCCATTCTTTTGTATGCTGGGGATTTGTGTTTTGCATTTTTTACCTTAGGTCTACTAGCTGTTCGTTAGTGTCTTCTCTAGGCTTGCTGATCATTTGTTTCATTATGGTTATTATATGATTTGTTATTTATTTATGTTTTATTTATTGAGGACTTTCTGGAATTGTTCTACCTCCTAGTATCCTTTCTGATCTATTTGCTATGTATCTTATGATTCCTTCACTCTCTTTACCCCTCTGCACTGATTTTTGGGGAGTTGGCAGCTCGGAGAGGCATTTTGTCACTTTATATTATTATGTTTCTCTTTTTTATGTGTGCTTTTTTTTGTGCTGGGGTTCACAAACACTTTGTCCCAGTGTACCATTTTTAGGATCAAGCTATAGTATTGTTCATGCCCCCACCAGGCAATCCAGGTATTGGTACAGAAAGAAAACCAATGGCTCACTGTCACATTACCTTGTCTACGATAGTAAATTCAGGGGGAAAAATGGCATCGAATGACACCTGGAGAGTTGCAAACCCTAGAAACCACTCATGAATACCCCTTCACCAAAACCAACAGGACTTTGACTTTAGCAATGGCAATTAGGGCCCCTTCATATTGACTTAGAATAACTTAGATCATTGATTTCTACTAGAAGTTGGCAGCAGTACCAGAGCTCAAACACACCACTGTGTTAAACACCCTCTTCTTCAGGGTCACCTCCACTGATAATCTCTCCTTTAAGACTTGGCTCCCACAACAGAATAAAGGCCCCACGACCATCCTGATCTGAGCTTAGGCACCCAGGAGATCATAGAACATGTCTGTTTAGCTCTCACCATCTCTAAGCCCATCTCCCATGGCTTTCTCCCACCCAGTCTCTGAGGAAGAGCATTGTGCCAGATCCGAAGCCGCTCTCCTGCATGTTCTTCAATCAGTTTGGTCTTTTGGTCATCAAGTCTGTTGCCCTGTGCTTAGAGAATCTAGGAACTAGAGGCAGGAGGTCACTTCACAGATATTCCAGGCTCCACTTGGCGTCCTGATCTCTTGCCACTTCCTCAGTCACTTCTGTAAGTTCTTCGTCATGAGCATCCCTTGTTGGGCTGTCATGGCTGCTCGACATCCTGAATCGATTCAAAATATTTACCTTTCATGGTCATTCTGACTTTGGGGAAGAGGTACAAGTCACATAGCGCCAGGCAGGGTGAATGCAGGAGATGAGGACACTACATTGCATTTTTACGAGCCTGTCTTTTCCTTGGAATGCACTTGGCAGCATCATTCACTGTATTTGTTTTATCACTCCTTATAAAGATGTGTAAAAGGACTTCCAGAACTGCTTCACAAAGTGGCAAGAACATGGGGACAAGGGCGGTCAAAGCAAGAAGGATTATTTAGATAGGATTAATGGTAATATGCCTTTTCCTGTAATAATTTTAAACATTCATGATATATTTTGACTGGACCCATCGTTTTGTCTGTAGGCGAGAGCCAAGTATGCAGAACTCAGTGTGTCACAAATCAAAACACATGTAGGAAATACTAGAAAATATACGTTAGCACCCTACCTGGTCCCAGGGAGAGACGCTGCCTCCAAAGCACATGAACAAGTATCCCATGGCAACGAGACATATCCATATCACCAAGGAGAACACGCGGAGCAGCTTCTTAAACACAGACTCAATGCACACGAGGATGAATATCGCAAAGAAAATCGCCAGGGCAGTTGGCACTGTTATTAAAAATGCCACATGGTCTTCAACTTCCTGAAGAGAGGAGAAAGATATATTGAGAAGTTACAATTGAGAGACTTCGCAGTACCAATGATTTATGCTGTTACAATGTTAGAAACATTAATCAACGTCAAAGTACATAAAATTTAGGAAAATATTTCAAAAGTAGAAGAGGAAAAACATTTAAAAATTTAAATTTCATATTAAATGACTATATTTTCCTAAGTAGATCATTCAATACAGGTCATTCAAAGTAAGTAAAAGAGCTAGACTCTCCAATTTACATGGTCCCTCAGAAATGGAGTGAGGCAAGGATGATGTGTGCAAGGAAACAGAGGGAAGACATGAACACAAGGAGACACTGACGCCAGGAGAAAAGAAAGTCCACGGTTTCACTGTCTGGATTAGAGGGTCACATAGGCCCAAGCTTTAGAAAAGTAGGTTCCAAATGATTTTGGAATATTTGATTTTTTAAAAACATTAGCTTATCTCAAGTCCTAAAATGATGAGCCCTTATTTTAATACATGCTAATTAATATTTGAATGGGACCCAAGGTTAATAGAAAAAGGTCAATGGTGCTAAACATAGAGAGAGCGAGAGTGGAAAATGCTCAGGGGGTAGGGCCCATTTGTTTTGCTTCCTCCTGTTCTCACTGGCTCCAACAAAAGGAAAATGGGCATTTGTTATTGGCCTCTTAATGATGCATTTTTCCAGACTCATATTAGCACATTTATGCTCATTTTGTATTTGTAACCACACACACACACACACACACACACACACACACACCTTCAGTTCTACACAATATCAGCCCCACGCCGTAGATATCATTTCCTTGGACCACACAGCATGCACTAAGGATGTGTCTTCCGCAGTACATTAATCTGGGGCTTGGAAAGGAGACATTCAGTTGGCAATGGATCACTGTGCAAGGTCTTTAACTCTCACCCAAATGTGTAGTTACTGAAACACACAAGCAAGGTCAATCTCAAGGCACATGATCAGAACCAAAAAATACTTCTGCTGAGGTTTTGGAATGTTAACCGTAATGGTAAAAACTAGAAAAATGGAGCAACTCTCTTTTGTATCACAGCCAGACGACTCCCAAGCTTCACTGCTGAGGACAGGGAACCCATCCCTTTGACAGCTCTAATTTCACTTCAGAGATTGTTCCATCCAAATCCAAGCAATGGCTGGTGAGAGAGCTCAGCGGACTAAGCACCTGCTTTGGCAAGCACAGGCACCAGGGTTCAACTCCCAGCACTGCATGCCGTGCAGGCCCTGCCCCCATGCACACTGAGCCAGCCACCGAAACTGGGCATGGTGGTGCACACCCGTAATCCCAGCACTGAGGAGGCTGAAGACAGGAAGATAACTTCATGTCTGCACTGCATAGTGAGACCCTGTACCAAGTACATTAAAAAACAAAAACAAAAAAACACCAAGCAACCAACCAAAGTGAGTTGGAGAAGCGAACAGATCAGCCTAAACCCCACACTGAGTAAAAGTTGGCAATGAAGGAACAAAACCAGGATCCAGCTCCCCTTTCAACTGATTTCATGTCCCTTTCTTTGTCACTACTATGTCTGTGTTAAGTGATACCTGGGAAACAAACAAAAGTAGCAATAGTAGTGGGAGTAAGAGTCACAAGAGTAAGAGTAAGTAAGGGCTCTTGTTTGTCTCAAGCACTCTTACTTAATCTCTTAATCCCTCAGTCCTTATAACCGTCAGGCAGGGAGGAGCTAAGGTTAGCACCATTCTGTGGTGGAGAGACACAGAGAAAGGCCCCTATAGGTACTGGGCTGGGGAAGGAGGGAGGCAGGGTCCTCTGGGGGGTTTATGCTGGCAGGTGCTCGCCCCCCAAAGAGCAGAACAGCACCCGTGCTTGCCTGGCTAGAAGAATGTATTTCAGAACTAACATAAAACAAGAGGGTTGAATAAGATCTTACTCTCCTCTTACATCAATTAAATCCCTAAATTACAGGGTCAGGGAGATGGCTCAATAGAATAAGAGCTTGCCTGGCAAGCGCGAGGGCCTGAGTTCAATCCCTGGTTCTGCCAAAAACAAAACAAAACAAAAACCAAAGACTCATAACCTAAATTATTGCCCTGACCTTTGAGCACTTTTATGATCAGTGCAAGAGTTTTACACACCCGGCAGCTGTGAGCACTCTCTGGCCACTAGACACCACGGGTTATTCTGCATGGGCCACAGTGGCACATCATCAGAGGCCACCAACTTCTAAACTGCAATCGCCACATACTGGGAGCCATGAAAGTCAGTTTCACTGTAAACCTTCCAAAAGGAAGGTAACTTTGAAAGCTAACAGGTAAACAAACAGAAAGCTCTTTTCCTTGTATGCTTTTCACTTATTTCATTAGTCCAGGAGACTAGAGACAATCCTAGCTTTATGGCGTTTACATCCCCAGACAAACTGATAGGAGGCGAAAAACATGCATGAATGTGAACCGAAAATTAGTATCTGTGGGAACAAAAAGATTATGAAGCAGGCTTTTTAACAAGTGGGGGGAAGCCATTCAGCTTCTAGGGGCTAGGGCTAGGGAGGGTATCCCATTGTCAAGGCATGAGTGGAAGTCCAAGCTACCTCCACTAGCACTTAATTCACCTCCAGGAAGGCGCACAATGTGGACGTGCTGTGAACAGAAGAGACCCCAGGGATGCCCACAGTGAGGTGGCTTCAGACACAGGGTTTAGAATACTTGTAGGCAAGGTCTAAGAATGCTGAGATCAGAAGCCATCATTACAAAAAGGGGCCCAGTGTTTAAACTTGTGCCCACATTTCCTCATCTCTGGGACCCAAGGCTGCTGCACAGCCGCAGAAGGAAGCTGCTTCCTGACAGTCTTTGCTGGGGGGCGAGACTGTGAGTGTTCTACACCATGTGGATGATGCTCAGGGAGCTGCTTCCTGCTAAACTTCAGATTCAGTTCCAGGGTCACTCTCTGGACCTACTTAGTGAACAGCCAGGAGTGGGTTCCCATTGGACTTGCTTCAGAGTGCAGCACATCCCATGGACCCACGGCTCCCTCCTGCCCTCAGAAATGTCCAAGGACATGCCACAGTGCCAGCCTTTGTCCCACCACAGTGCACGCTGCCTAAAATTCTCCAGAGAGGATCTTTGCCTGGCATAAGCAACATCCCGCAAGAGTTCATTCCAGCCAACACTACAGCTAAGAGAAATTTCTGCAAGCTTCCACCATAAATCACTACTGCTAGCCACTGGCAGAGGACATATCTGAAATCATCACTACTGCCCACTACTGTGTGTGTGTGTGTGTGTGTGTGTGTGTGTGTCTGTGTGTGCGCGTGCGCATGCATGTGTGCATGCGTGTGCAGCACACAGCCCAAGGCTTGAAGACAAGTTTTGGTCAGGACAGGCTGTAACCGTGGACTGCTCCCTCATCTGAGCACTTAAGGAAAGAAATTTTACCTTTTATCTTGTATTTAGTTAAAAAAAAACTTTATCTCCTTCAACTTATTTTTTCTAATTTTCTCTTTTCTTTTTCTTCTTTTCATTTTTTTTTCTATTACCAGATGTTGAAAGAACCTTTACACTGAGCTACATCTTTAGCCTAGTTTTCAGTTTTATTTTGAGACAGAGCTTTACTAAGTAGCTAAGTCACCTAGGCTGGGCTTAAATTTGTGATCCTCCTGCCTTGGCCTGAGTAAGCGCTGGAAATACAGGTGTGCACCACGATCCCTGGCTTTCATTTTTCATCTTTTGGTTGTTTTTTCTTAGCTAATTTAACCTTTTCATTTTATTCCCCCTTTTCTTTTATGTTATTGTTAATTTTTTTTATCATTTGTTTTATTATTGTTTTGCGTGGCTAGGAACAGAGTTCAGGGCCTCACAGAAAGTGGGTGGGTGCTCTGTTACTGAGCCATCTTCACACTCACTGAGAGGAAATAAACTGAGTCCCAAGCACAACCTCATCCCACTTGAGCCTTGGAAGATGCTTAAAGAATCAGGAGAGAGTGTAGACTCCTGGCTGTTAGTCTTTCCCCACATGGGCATTGCTGGGAGGGTTCTGAGGTCCTATTTCCAGATGGACACCCCACAGAGCTGAAAAGGATGATGCAGTAATTGTGGCTGCTGTCCTTGGTAAGGGTGACACTCCTGTCAGACTGCACAATGATGATGACCAGATGTGTTGTCACACAGAGCGACTGTGATACTGGCCCTCACTAGCCACAGAACTCACGGATCCTCACTAGTGTCCACATAGAGGACAGTAGCTTCAGGCCAGTCCTCGTAATTGGGTACGCCAGGATCAGACTGCTTTCTTTTGGTATTTGGAACAGGGTCTCACTTTGCAGCTCAAGCTCATAGTGATCCTCCTGCTTTCAGCCTCCTCAGCACTGAGACTACAGGCAGGTGCCACCACGCCTGGTCTCGGTAGTTGGGTCAGCGCACCTGGGGGTGGGGCTGGCGTGGCGTGCAGTACTGGGGATTGAGCCGCAGTCTCTGCGCTTGCCTAAGCAGGTGCTTAGTCCACTGAGCTATCCTGTTGGCCCTCAGACTGTTTTCAAGTAATGGAACCAGTATGAGCAGAGCCACCAGAAGTGACTGTCACCTGACGGAGGGTTTGCTCTCATTGTGCGGCGTCCACAGGCAGCACACCCATACCCTACATTGTCTGGGTTCATTCAGCTGTCTACCTCATGCCGTCTGATGAGAAATTCTTCATTCTTGAAAGATAGAGACAGTGGGTCTCTCGGACACAGAAATGGTACACACTGCTTCAAAACCCACTAATCATTGCCAAAGAAGCCACAAAGAAAATATATACAAAGTCCATCTGGAAGTACTTTTGAGGTACACAACAGACTCCCTGTCAAGACAAAGCAACTAAGAAATACATCATGGAAAGATGTCCATCCCAGGGCCGATGAGATGGCTCAGCAGACTAAGCACCTGACTAGGCTAGTGCAAGGACCTGGGTTCAATTCCTGCCACCACGTGCAGCACAGACCCCGCCGAGAGGGCAGGCTGAGCTGGCCAATGAGAACGG